GTAACGCCGCGAAATATTGGTCCTAGACCCACCATTAAGTATACCGATCATCATATCTCGACTGGCTGAGTCGATCTAGACATGTGTGTCCCTCCGTCCGTCTGTCCTTTATAATATGTAAACACGATACAGGCCACAGTTATAGACCAATCTTCACGAAATTTTACATGTAGGATGGTTTTTTTCTGGTCGCTCCAGAGACCGCAATTATGGCCCGAACATCGCGAAATTTTACATGGAGAAGTAGATCAGGCCAAAGAATAAGCTTGCCTGTTTTGATAAAGATCTGCCATTATTTAGCGGGTCAAATAAACCCTGAATTTTTTGCGAAAAATGACAACATTTGTATTCTATGGCGTATATATTTACTCCTGAAGGACATAGACCAAGATACCAATTATATTGTCGTATGTACTTGGATGTGGGAGTTAAACTCAAATATTTATAGGTGCTTACGTATTCAGATATAATTTAGTAACCCATTAACATTAGAGGACAGAAAAAAAACGCTGATCGCTTTATAATTTTCCAATAGATTCCAGTTATGGTCAAGGACAACGCCTATAAATTTCGGTGATGATCTCATAAAAAATTTGTGATTAAGTGGACCTTATTTTTTGGGGTTTTTCGAGTCGAACTATAGGTCACAAGCCGAACATCACAACACAAGCCACTGTGAAGGAAATCTCGATAGGTAATTAACAGGGCTGTAATGGATATTGGAAATATTCGGAAAATGTGCCTGTGTAAGGAAGAGGTGCTGTAGATCTCTAATCGGTCAAGAGGGTGCAACTACCACGAAATATTACAGAGGCTCGAAATAAACATCCGCAGAAAGTAAGAGTTCCGTGGTAGTTGTGTAGGGTATCGTATAGTCGGCCCCAACCGACTATGCGATACCCTTTGGGTACATACCAGAGATGTAATATGTATATGTGTGATCTACATACATATTTGAACCTATTAAAAAAACCCACAAACATACCATTCTTAAATCTATGAAAAATGCATGTCAATCGGGGAGACTTGGATTCTTTGGCGTATCATTTGTACGAAACATAGCAACATTATTTATGTATGTAAATCTGGACCTAGATGAGCAACCGTAAATATACCAAATTCTGCAGGATATTGCGCTGGGGGTTTGATGCACCATTTTCCTAAAATTGGGAACTTTATCTACATCTAAGGCGATGTCAACAAAACTTTGCATACGTCTATCTGGATCTAACTCAGAACACTGCATAAAATTTTATATCAATCAGACAAATATTGGGAGTTTTATCTCAATCAGACAAATATTGGCGATCTCGCGGTTTTTTTATTTTTCAACAGGGAGACCTTTATTACTGTGTGGATCCTTTACAACCGTGTCAAATACCTCAAAGCCCTTTCAGGCTTGGCTTATGTGTTTCTCCCTTCAAGAACATCCACTTCTGAATAAATATTAATAATACATAAAAAATAAATAAAATAAAAAACTGAAATACGAAAACCCTTAGAGCGATTATTAACAATTCACTTTCTAATCCTTTTGCAAGTACTTTGCAATATATCTATCCTTTTCTTTACTTCTTGACTGCTGCGCCATTGGTTAATGTCGCCACAACAACGATCTATTATTCTAATTAGTTTCTCACTCTTTCTCTCTCTCTCTCTTCCAATCAGTTTATTCGTTGTGACCAGGGCTGCCATATTTGCCGATTTATCGGCATTTTGACGATTTTTCACTCTAAAAATGGAAAATGCCGATTTTCCGATTTTTGCCTCAGAATTGCCGATATTTCAACAATCGACACAAATTGTCTAACTTTTTAATTTAATACGGCGTTACCATACAAACATATAAAATTGGCAGCTTTAAATCATTATAACTATCGGCGACTCGCCGCAGCCGTTTTCAATGGCTTAGATATCTGCATTTTTTGTCAGCATTGTACTCTGTCTAGTTTACATTTTACATCGAATAAGGCAAATCTTTAGACTCCGAGTTTAGGAAGTTAAACTTTCTGAATTTTTAAGAAATTTTTGAAAATGCAGAATATAATTTAAAAATTTTTCGGAAAAAAATTTCCGAAATTAAACGTGGGGCTCCAATTTAGCTTTTCCAGTTTTGTCTAATTTGTACAAAGAATTATGGTTCTTCCACATTCCACAGCAAATGTGGAACGAATTTTTAGTCAGGTAAACCTTAACAAAACTAAAATTAGAAGCTCACTTGAGAATGATTCATTGGAAGGGATTCTTTATTCTTAATATTACCTCAAACTAAATAATTCAAATTGTTTTAATATCAAAATTGATAATGAAATACTAAAAATTTGTAATAAAAATATGTACTAGTTTCTAATTTTTTTATGACCTTAATACCACACTGTGTTATACGTAAATCTGAAAGATCTCACTTGTGTACATAATAATTACTATATTTTAGAAAAATCTACATTTTTTGTAGAAAAATTAATCTTTTATTTTTTATACAGAATTGAATTTGTTATCTTTTTTTTAATGTAATAAACAATATTGACCTGTTATAAACCAAAAAAATATGAATTTATTTATAAATTAAATGCTGCCGATTTTTAAAAATACAAATGCCGATTATGCCGATTTTTTTCTGAAAAATTGACGATTTTTCATGAAATTTAACTGGCAGCACTGGTTGTGACTTGAAAGTTCGGTCGTCTTGTAATTTGTGGTCGGTTATTTTATAAGAAAAAGTGTAAAATATATATAAAAAATAACAAATTAATTAAAATAATATCATAAAAATATCCTAGCTATAAAAATCAAAGTTTAATTCGCATTTCCATAAAATGTTTGTGGGTCAAGTGTCGTTTGTGCATGAATGTGCAATGTTTTGTTGTTGTTTGTGGTTTTGTGTAAATAGGGATATTTAGTTCGTTTTGTGTGGTTGGAGTTCGCGCTCATTTTAGTAAAGAATGTCAATGTATTTGTGATTATATCGAATATCGAGTTCAGTTTCTGAATGAAATTGTGTTGTGAAATATGAAAATGAAAAAATAAAATTAAATCAAAAGATAAATTTAATAAAAATAATAAAAAAAAAAAATCATTTATGTCATATAATATCAGTGATTCGGTGTCATTACTCATATACGTGTTTTTATACAAAAGGTGGTGCTCTCCAATAGACTTGTCATGGTTTCAATATATGAAAAAAGGTAAGCTATTTTCCGGCCTCTAGGCTTTAATATATTTTGGTAGCTTCTTCAAAAAATCTTTATTTAAACCATAGATTTATTCAGAAAATCTTCATTTAAAAATCTACGCCTTGGGTTCTATTGGTCCTTGCAAAAAATCTTCATTTAAAAATCTACGCCTTGGGTTCTATTGGTCCTTGCAAAAAATCTTCATTTAAAAATCTACGCCTTGGGTTCTATTGGTCCTTGCAAAAAATCTTCATTTAAAAATCTACGCCTTGGGTTCTATTGGTCCTTGCAAAAAATCTTCATTTAAAAATCTACGCCTTGGGTTCTATTGGTCCTTGCAAAAAATCTTCATTTAAAAATCTACGCCTTGGGTTCTATTGGTCCTTGCAAAAAAATCTTCATTTAAAAATCTACGCCTTGGGTTCTATTGGTCCTTGCAAAAAATCTTCATTTAAAAATCTACGCCTTGGGTTCTATTGGTCCTTGCAAAAAATCTTCATTTAAAAATCTACGCCTTGGGTTCTATTGGTCCTTGCAAAAAATCTTCATTTAAAAATCTACGCCTTGGGTTCTATTGGTCCTTCCAAAAAAATCTTCATTTAAAAATCTACGCCTTGGGTTCTATTGGTCCTTGCAAAAAATCTTCATTTAAAAATCTACGCCTTGGGTTCTATTGGTCCTTGCAAAAAATCTTCATTTAAAAATCTACGCCTTGGGTTCTATTGGTCCTTGCAAAAAATCTTCATTTAAAAATCTACGCCTTGGGTTCTATTGGTCCTTGCAAAAAATCTTCATTTAAAAATCTACGCCTTGGGTTCTATTGGTTCATGAAAAAATCTTCATTTAAAAAATCTACGACTTGGGTTCTATTGGTCCATGAAAAAAAAATCTTCATTTAAAAATCTACGCCTTGGGTTCTATTGGCTCTTGAAAAAAATCTTCATTTAAAAATCTACGCCTTGGGTTCTATTGGTCCTTGCAAAAAATCTTCATTTAAAAATCTACGCCTTGGGTTCTATTGGTCCTTGCAAAAAATCTTCATTTAAAAATCTACGCCTTGGGTTCTATTGGTTCTTGAAAAAATCTTCATTTAAAAATCTACGCCTTGGGTTCTATTGGTTCTTGAAAAAATCTTCATTTAAAAACCTACGCCTTGGGTTCTATTGGTTCATGAAAAAATCTTCATTTAAAAATCTACGTCTTGGGTTCTATTGGTCCTTCAAAAAAATCTTCATTTCAAAAACTACGCCTTGGGTTCTACTAGTCCTTCAAAAAATTAAAAATCTACGCCTTGGGTTCTACTGGTCCTTCAAAAAATTTAAAAATCTACGCCTTGGGTTCTACTGGTCCTTCAAAATATTTAAAAATCTACGCCTTGGACTCCTTCCAAAAATCATTTAAAAAACTACGCCTTGTTGGTCCTCGAAAAAATCTTCATTTAAAAATCTACGCCTTGGGCTCCTTCCAAAAGTCTTCATTTAAAAAACTACGCCTTGTTGGTCCTCGAAAAAATCTTCATTTAAAAATCTACGCCTTGGGTTCTATTGGATCTTCAAAAAAATCCTGCATTTAAAAATCTATTGATCTATTTTGTCCCTTGAAAAATATGTTCTGGTTCCTTCCGAATAAAAACAAGTTTTTTTGGTTTATCGTTTTAACATAAAACATTTATTTTCTTCATTTCTATTTCAAATAAATGAAATTCGAAATAAATTCGGGAATTTGTTATTCTACTTAAAACTAAAATTCGGAAAACAAAATCGGAATTAAATTAAAAAAACTATGGCAATCTGAAATTAACTTCTAACTTAAAATACTGTTTCCCATTTAATCCACCTCATCCACAGTTGGTCCGGCAGCACGTCCACCACCAAATCCTCCCGCTTGTTGGCCACACGATGCACTCGGTCCGCCGGCATCATGTAACTTCGTCATAATCGGTGTACAAATCTTGTTAATCTCCTTCATTTTATCTTCGTACTCGTCACGTTCGGCCATATGATTGGCATCTAACCATTTAATGGTATCGTCGCAAGCCCGTAAAGTCTCTGCTTTTTCTTGAGCCGAAATCTTATCACCACTGGCCTGGTCTAATGCCTGTTTTACCCCAAACACATAACTCTCCAAATTATTACGAGCTGCAATTCTATTCCTTTGCTTTTCATCTTCTTCGGCATATTTCTCTGCATCGCTGACCATGCGATCGATTTCGGCTTGCGATAGGCGGCCCTTGTCATTTTTGATGGTGATATTTTTGGCATTGCCGGAACTCATTTCCTTGGCGGAGACATTCAAAATACCATTGGCATCCAAATCGAATGTAACCTCAATTTGGGGTACTCCACGTGGTGCTGGGGGTATACCGGATAGATCGAAAGTACCCAAGCGATTGTTATCCTTGGTCATAACACGTTCACCTTCGAACACTTGGATGGTGACACCTGTTTGATTATCCGAATAGGTGGAGAAGGTTTGAGTCTGTTTGCATGGAATGCGTGAATTGCGCTCAATTATCTTGGCCATTACACCTCCTGCAGTTTCAATGCCCAAGGAGAGTGGAGCCACATCCACCAGTAGGACATCTTGAATGGCGCTGCTCTTATCACCACTCAAAATGGCTGCTTGAATGGCTGCACCATAGGCCACCGCCTCATCGGGATTAATGGACAAATTCAAATTCTTGCCACAGAAGAATTGCTGCAACAGATTTTGGACCTTGGGTATACGTGTCGAACCACCAACCAGAACAATGTCGTGAATATCATTCTTATCCATCTTTGCATCATTGAGAGCCTTCTCAACCGGTTGCAATGTCTGGCGGAAGAGATCGGCACACAATTCCTCAAATCGAGCACGACTGACTTTGGTGTAATAATCAATGCCATCAAACAGGGCATCAATTTCAATTGTGGCCTCCGAACTTGAAGACAAGGTGCGTTTGGCACGCTCAGCAGCTGTCCTCAGGCGGCGCAATGCTCTGGGATTGGAACGAAGATCTTTTTTGTATTTCCGTTTGAATTCCTCAGCCAAATGGTTGACCAGACGATTATCGAAATCTTCACCACCCAAATGGGTATCACCGGCCGTGGCCCGAACCTCAAAGAGGGAACCTTCATCAATGGTCAAGATGGAGACATCAAAGGTACCACCACCCAAATCGAAAATCAAAACATTACGTTCTCCTTTCAGGTTCTTATCGAGACCATAGGCCAAAGCGGCAGCTGTGGGTTCATTGATAATCCTCAAGACATTCAACCCGGCAATGCGTCCAGCATCCTTGGTGGCCTGCCGCTGGGAATCATTGAAATAGGCTGGCACCGTGATTACCGCATCGCTAACACTTTGTCCCAAATAGGCCTCAGCCGTTTCCTTCATTTTAGTCAAGACCATGGAACTGATTTCCTCGGGAGCAAAACGCTTCTGTTCACCCTTAAATTCGACACAGATTTTGGGTTTACCACAATCGCTCACCACTTTGAAGGGCCAGTGTTTGATGTCTTCCATTATCTTGGGATCATCATATTTGCGACCAATCAAACGTTTAGCATCGAAGACTGTGTTCTTCGGGTTCATGGCCACCTGGTTCTTGGCGGCATCACCAATCAGACGTTCGGTGTCTGTAAAGGCAACATAACTGGGTGTTGTGCGATTGCCCTGATCGTTGGCAATGATTTCCACTTTGCCATGTTGGAAGACACCAACACAGGAATACGTTGTGCCCAAGTCAATACCAACTGCTACCATTTTTGTTGTTGATACCCTTTTCCTTTTCTCTGTTGACTAGAAAATTCGTCGGGGTGATTCCGGGTAACTTATTTGGTTGGATTTTAATTACTCCTCTTATGACTGAATGACTTTCGCAACTTCTTTTTCAGATTTCAAATAACTGCCTTTTTTGACAAACTGTTACTTTTTCTCAGTTCTGTGCTTTGCTTTGAAAATTTACTTTGGTTTTGTTTTGTCGCTTTCGTTCGCTTGTTATTTTAACGCTTTGATTTGTACTTCTGTACTGATGCCGAAGAGAATCCGATGCCAGCTATTTATACAAAATTTCACCACCATTCGTATTTTCTAGATACTCTTTGGCGATTTTTGTTGAATTTTCCAGATACGCCAATGAAAAAGGCAGACAAGAGAAAGAGGACACACAGCCAAATGCAGATATGGTGCATTGTTGCGGTATGAGTTTTAAGAGAATATGAGAGAAACCAATTCTGCAGTACAGTGAACCTACCACAATGTTCGGGGTACAATTGCAAAAAACAAAATGTTGCATGCATGAGAGAACAAACAACTACAGTTGTGTTCAAATATATAGAACAAATATTAAAAAGTAAAAACGTAAATATATTCGACCGGATCGGGCCGAGCTTTCAAAAAATACCTAAAATCGATCAGGAAGCTGCAATCCTTCAATTTTAAATTAAAATTAGCGTCGGAGTGTAGGATATCGATATGTAGGTAGCTTTGGAAATTTGTACTTAGGTGTACGAAAGGTACTATATTTGGTACGATTTGGATTTGGGTGACCCGATAGCGCTGGAACACTGAAATTCGGATATAAATAAGATTACTACTGCATTGCATGATTGAGGTATGTTGGTAGTTTCTGAAATTCGGACTCATGTGTTCTAAATTTGTACAACTTGAATTTTTGGGTGAACCAAGGGAGTTGGTTTTCTGATATTTGGAGTTAAGATCATTGTTGGGTTGTAGGATTGGTGTACGTGGGCAGTTTTGCAAATATTTACTAATGTCCTACTTAATGGTACTAAATTTGGTACAATTGGGATTTAGGTGAACCGATAGAGCAGGAACACTGACATTTTTTGAAAAAAGATTACAACTGTATTGTAGAATTGAGTTATGTTGGTAGTTTGAAAGATTTCGTACATATGTGTACTAAATTTTGTTACAATTTAAATTTTACGTGAGCCGTTAGAGCAGCGATAGTAAAACCTGGTCTCATGCGTGCAACATTTGTTTCTGCTTTTTGGTGGGCGGTTGGATTTTCCAAAGTATATTATGAAAAATGAAAAATCCATTTACAGCTAATGCTAAGGAAGCTGATACAAAGTATCAAGAAGAACTATTAGAAATAAAATATGATGGAGATTGTAAACAGAGTTTCGAAAATGTCGAAATTGTAGTCCTTGGCCCTATGTGCTAGGTCGCTATATCAAATAATTTAATAATAATAAAAATGTTTTTGAAGTGCAATGGTTCTGAACCTCTCCAAATAAATAGACGTAAAGATATTATTAAGATGATACATTGTTAGTTTTAAGCTTTTGGAGTAGTCTATATTTTGTTGTTTTTTGATTCGCTAGATTTGGGCTAGATTCTCGTTTATGAAATAAATTGAAATTGAATCAGGATTTAGTGCTGTTAACCACATCATGAACAAAGAAAGAAACGACCTTAATATTTCTGAAAGAAAAGACCTTCGCTTGTTTTTGACGAAATAGAACCAGATATTTAATTTCGCAGCATCAGTTCACTATACTTAATTAAAATTACTTAATAAAATTTAAAAATCTAATAAATAAAAGCAATTTATCAATAAACAACACTGTGGATTAGGTGGGCTGTAAGAATATTTTTCTATGACTTGAGGTGAAAAAGTGGGCGGTAATTAAAAAAAGGTTAGAGCTAGAATCCTAAAATTTGGACTTTTTATCACTGTTGGTTTGTAGGATTGGGGTATTTTTAGGAATTTTTGGATATGTCTACTAATGTGTACTAAATGTCACTAAATTTGGTACAATTTAGATTTCGAGTGAACCGATGGAGCTTTAACCTGAAATTGGATAATAAGATTTCCATAGGATTGCATGATATATGCAATAATGGATATTTGTACTTATGTGTACTAAATGGTGCTAAAATTTATTTGGGTGAACCCATTGAGTTGGAATCCTGAATTTTGGAATTAAGATTGGGATATGTGGGAGGTTTTGAAAATTTGTACTTATGGTTGTCGGGTTTGGATGAACCTATATTTGAAATTTGGATTTTGTTTGCTAATAAGTATTACAAGAGTACAAAGAGTAATAAATGACTGATTTAGACATGTCGAGATTTAGATATCAGGTTCCTAAAGACGGCACCTTGTTTAATAATAATTTAGTAAGGAAAATAATAGAAAAATCTACTAAATATATCAATTTTGTTTAATTAAAATGCGACATGCTGAAAATTGAAAAAAGTGCCGAATATTGGCAAAAAATCCGTACTTTATCTAATTGCCAATTTACTTAAATTTAATAAAAATGAATTCAACAAATTTTTATTGCTTTTATAAAAAATTGTTGAATAAATTTGTATTAAAGTTGAATAAATTGACAAAATTTCGAAACAGCCTAACCTAAAACCAAATAGTTGAAAAAATTCAATCGGGATGGTGAAAGTTTAAAATGCGAAAATTCTTAAAGTGCCGACTTTTGGTACACTTACCCCACCAATGCTATTTTTTTCATCACTACTGCTTATACGTTTTGCTTTCTTCTTCCGCTTAACCCACAGTTGCATAATAAACAAGAATAAACTAAAAAATGCTAGTATATTCTCTTTTACATTGTACCAAGGTGCCACACACGCACACAAACATATCTCGAAAATTCCTGTCAGCTAAACATAATACCACCTTTGACAAGGAGAAGGGGGTTATTTTGTTATTTTTTGGCATGTCTTCGCTCTCTCCAGAAAATTCAAGTTCATTCAACCGGTTGTCATGTAAACAATGGATATGTTTTTAAGCTCAATTCTTTAATACATACATGCTGTTTCATGATGTTAAACCTGCATCATGAATTTTAAATTGAACTTCTTATGGCTTGAGTAAGGTCCAGACAACCGATCAACAGACTTGTCGAATTATTATTTTTTGGCTCACCTACTAAAAGTTGGAGGATAAATAAATACATTGCTTTTTTATATTTTTTACTTCATATAAAATCCTTCACACCTGCCCCACTCGCATAAGGTTGTAATTTAGAATTTACAAAAGATAAAGGACCTCTAATAAAGTATTAATTTTTATCCTAATCTTCCATAACACTACCATAAAATGTTTCTTATCCAAAAATATTGGTTTTAGATTACTAAATGCATTTCAGACAATTTGATTTACAAAAGGCCGTCCGGCCGCCGGGCTTTAACCGGCATTTTCAAAAGAACTTTTTACCGGGTTAACCTACTTAATGAGGATTTATTTGGCATATATACAATGGACTTGACAATTTAAACCCACTCGGTTAACGAAATCAAGTACAATGTAAATTTACTATTATATTTATTATTATTTTTTTTTATGAAATATTAATCAAGTTCAATGTTGGAGAATATCTGTCCAATGCAATATCCGACCACGACTTTGCACAACCTAACAATGTTTGAAGAGGTAGCGCACCTATCGTCTATATAGGTCTACAATCTCATGTACCTCCCAGATGATTAATTTAATTTAAATACCAACACCTCAAAGTATTTCGTCAATCCTGTATGGCATAACTATACAAGGTAGTCTCATTTGAGAAATTGATAATGGCAACCCTTCATAATATGGAATTTATGTATCAATTTCAAATAAAATGAAAAATAAATTCCATAAAATGTTACGCAAAATTTTTTCTTCCCTTTATGATATCGAAACCAGTGGGCGGAGCAGTATAGTCGGACGGAGCCAACCATATGATACCCTACATAATTATATCGGAACTCCAACTTTCTACGGGTCTATATTCCGATCCTGGACAATATTTGCACCATCCTGACCAATTAGAGGTCAACAGCTTCTCTTTCTTACCCTGGCATAATTTCATAGTACATAGTAACTTATTAGCACATTTAGAACATTTGTTCCATAAGTCGAGTCTAGGAAATGTTCTCGAGTCTTGAAATGTTCTCTTCCACTTGATATTTCCCTCTAAATCGTGGTCTTCTCCTTCTGTGTGAACCATCAGTTGGCTCGCTTTTATATGCCTTTTGTACTGGGGCATCCTCATCCAATCTCACAATATGACCTAGCCAACGTAATCGCTGCAGCTCGATACGTCTGACAATGCCCATGTCTGAGAATTGATGGTACAACTCATGGTTCATTCGACGGCGATATTCACCGTCAACGCAGATCGACTTCATTCTGACATAGTATCTATAAAATATTGTTATGGGTTATCTTCGACGAAAATTTTCAATAAAGGTTCTTATATTAAAAATAAATATTCATGTTAGATATTTTTAAGGTCCTAGCCGCATCAAACCAGACACCCTTATAACAGTTAATTCCTAAGGAAAACATACACATTCACAGTTCATTCATACACATTGTTTAAATTTTGAAATCAATATTCTAGAAATATCATTTAAAGGGTTGATGTCGAATGCCATAGAACTTTCCATTTCCTTCAGTTCGATTGTTATGTATGTTTGTTCGATGGGTCAATGCATTTTGCATTGCGGTAGGTTGTGGTATAAAACAGAAATTTCTAAACAACAGAGAGAGATTGAGAAATTTCAAGAGAACGAAACTACATATCTACTCAACAAAACAATATATATGTGTGTACATATGTGCAACGCTATCAGCCAAGTTCTCTTTGTGCAAAAAAACATAATAATCTCTGGCAGAAGCGAATAGCTACGCTCCTAATATGGCATACACATGTGTACATACATATATTTGTTTCAAATTTTAAGTCAAGACGAAATATTGTTACCCTATAGGAAGAGTACAGAAGGCCTTCATTAATTATGGATCTCTATGGTCATGCTAATGCATCTCGGCCCAATAGCTATGGATTATTTGGCAACAACCCTATCTCAATCGGTGATATTATGACTATGGTAACTATCTCAATGACAGATAGGCATATGTGGAGATTAGGGGCGGATATCTAAATACCCCAAGATTTAAATGAGGTGTTAAGATGGTATCTTACGCAGACGACTGTACCATAATATCGTCCGAAATCGGACGATATTATGGTATCTGAATCTAAATCTACTGCGACGCTATTTAACTCCTGAACTAAAGACTAAGACTTCAAACGATCCAGAATAGTGCTCTAAAGATTACTACCGGATGTATCAAGATGCCGAGTTTATATCATCTTCATGTGGAGACAAGGATACTGTCAGTATAGCAACATAATGTGTTGCCAGACAGTTCCTTCTGGCCTCCCATCTACCAAATAACCGTAATAAAGTTCCGATTGATTTTAAAAAATTTTGATTGTCCACCTCATTGTAGAGGGTATTTCGTCCCACCGAATTTGATAGTTTTTATTTGTAAAGGATGCTTTTTTCGGTCTGATGAACTAAATGTCGAATCAATCATCTCAATACAGGACCCCATAGTCATCTTTGTGGAACAAATGTTCTGTCACAAGGAAGCTAAGTAAGCAATTGTCAAAATTTCGTCTCTATATGCGACATATATTCGGTAGCCTATAGAAGCGACTAATGTCTACATAGACGACCGAAATGTATAGTTGAAAAATACATCGGTTCTATAGACAACCTAATAGTCGGTTGAATAGATTTTCTAAAAGGCTTTAAAATTCGTCTCTATAGAAAAACCTTAAAGAGTTTATTGACGACCTACCTTCGTCCTAAATGTCGCCTATATAAACCACATCGATGTAATGTCAATTCGTCTCTAAGAAGAAGGAAAAACATCGTATCTGTAGACGACCAAATAGTTGGGTATATAATAGAGACATAAGCCGTCTCTGTATTCTCCTTTAAGTCGTCTATATAGCCGAACTTAAAGTACCCTCTATAGGTGTCATTAAAAACTTTTCTATTGGTGACCTTAAATCCTCTTCATGACCCCAAAAAGTTCGAATACTTCGTTCTGGAACTTATATTAAATTTCTATTTATTCAAGCTATTACAAAGGTAATGACAAAGTCCCGCATACCCATTGTTTGCCGTACAGCACAAGGGGGTCGCAAACATACACACACATCAATTCGTATGCATTTACATACACACAAACCCTCATTGCAATACAATGAAAGGTAATGCATCATCCTCCTCACGAGCAGAACTTTCCACACACTTCGAGATGCCACCACAACAACTGAGAGCAATGCAGTTCGGCTCGGCATATGCCCAGGCTGCTGGCATTGTGAGAGCCCAAGTATAAATACCAGTCATCGTTGCACTTGGACGTCAGTGAATTACAAGAAAGCAACGAGATAAGAAGTGAAGTGAAGAAAGAAAACAAAGCAATCGAAGAAAAAATCGAAAGCAAGTTTTTCAAACAGAAAAAAACGTTATTTTGAACGAAGAAGTAAAATTTTCGAAAAAAGACTATAGAGAAACAAGAAGCCTACAGAGAAGCACATAGAAGCAACAACAAAAATGGTAGCAATTGGTATTGATTTGGGTACAACCTATTCCTGCGTCGGCGTTTTCCAACATGGCAAAGTGGAAATCATTGCCAATGACCAGGGTAATCGCACAACACCCAGCTATGTGGCATTCACCGATTCGGAAAGGCTTATCGGCGACGCTGCCAAGAACCAGGTGGCCATGAATCCCAGTAACACCGTCTTCGATGCGAAACGTTTGATTGGCCGCAAGTTTGAGGATCCCAAAATTCAGGCCGATATGAAACATTGGCCCTTCCGTGTGGTCAACGACTGCGGTAAGCCAAAAATACAAGTCGAATTCAAAGGTGAACAGAAGAGGTTTGCTCCGGAGGAAATTAGTTCCATGGTTCTGACGAAAATGAAAGAAACCGCCGAGGCCTTTTTGGGTACCAGCATACGGGATGCCGTTATCACAGTGCCGGCATACTTCAATGACTCGCAGCGACAGGCCACCAAAGATGCTGGAGCCATTGCAGGGTTGAATGTCTTGCGTATTATCAATGAACCAACAGCTGCTGCCTTGGCCTATGGTCTCGATAAGAACCTGAAAGGAGAACGCAACGTCTTGATCTTCGATTTGGGTGGTGGTACCTTTGATGTCTCCATCTTGACCATTGATGAAGGTTCCCTCTTTGAGGTACGAGCCACGGCCGGTGATACCCATTTGGGTGGTGAAGATTTTGATAATCGACTGGTGAACCACTTCGCCGAGGAGTTCAAAAGGAAATACAAAAAGGATTTGACCAAAAATCCCAGGGCATTAAGGCGGCTACGTTCAGCTGCGGAGCGTGCCAAACGTACCCTCTCATCCAGCACTGAGGCCACCATTGAAATTGATGCTCTGTTTGAGGGTATCGATTTCTATACGAAAATAAGCAGGGCACGTTTTGAGGAATTGTGTTCAGACTTATTCCGCAGCACTCTGCAGCCGGTGGAAAAGGCTCTCAACGATGCCAAAATGGATAAGAATCAAATCCATGATATTGTCCTGGTTGGTGGTTCCACACGTATTCCTAAGGTACAAAATCTGCTGCAACAATTCTTCTGTGGCAAGAGTTTGAATTTGTCCATTAACCCCGATGAGGCGGTGGCCTATGGTGCAGCTATACAGGCGGCAATATTGAGTGGTGATAAGAGCAGTGCCATACAAGATGTCCTGCTGGTGGATGTGGCTCCTCTGTCTTTGGGTATTGAAACTGCTGGTGGGGTTATGACCAAGCTAATTGAACGTAACTCCCGCATACCCTGCAAACAGACGAAAACCTTTACCACCTATGCCGATAATCAACCAGCTGTGACTATTCAGGTGTTCGAAGGTGAGCGTGCCATGACCAAGGATAACAACCTATTGGGTACCTTCAATCTGACGGGTATACCCCCAGCACCACGTGGTGTACCCAAAGTGGATGTTACCTTCGATTTGGATGCCAACGGTATTCTCAATGTCACCGCCAAGGAAATGAGTACGGGCAATGCCAAGAATATTGTCATCAAAAACGACAAAGGACGTCTATCACAGGCCGAAATTGATCGTATGCTTCACGAGGCCGAACAATATGCCGAGGAGGATGAAAAACACCGCCAGCGTATAGAATCCCGACATAAATTGGAATCGTATGTCTTCAGTGTGAAGCAGACGCTAGAGGAAGCTGGCAGTAAAATACCCGAGGCCGATAAAGATCGTCTATTGTCGAAATGTAAAGAAACCATTCAATGGCTTGACAGCAACACCACAGCCGAAAAGGAAGAATTCGATTATAAAATGGAAGAATTGTCACGCATCTGTTCGCCGGTTATGACCCGAATGCATCAGCAGGCGAATGGTGGCGGTGGTTGTGGTAGCGGCAGCGGAGGTGCTGGCGGTGCAAATTGTGGCACACAGGCGAATGGTTATGGTGGAGCCAATGGTTACGGTGGAGGCTATAGCGGACCCACTGTGGAAGAAGTGGACTAAGTTGAACCCAAATTCTAATTAGAAGTTAATTTAAATGTTCCCTAAACTATTTTTTGTTTGTTTCTGAGCTGTGATTTAAATTTCGTGTGATCAGAATTTCCAAAGAGCCATAAATTGTAAAAGTCTGTTAGTTTTAAGATTTTTTGTTTTGTTTTAAGAAATTTAATTGTGTTTAAACAATATAAAATAAAAATTATTTATTTTTTGATGAAAAATGAAACTTTTTTATTTTTAAAAAAATCTTGGGTAGAGAAGGGAGACATTATGGTGTTCCATATTGAAGACTTTAAGGTCGTCCACATGACTATAAGATCGTCCCTATAGACAATTCTAAGGTGTTCTATATAGTCAATACGGGGGGTATTGACTACTATAAAGTCGTCTATATAGGGGACTTTTAAATTGTTTTATAGGCTTGGAAATTCAATGTATTGAAAATAAGAAAATTCTTACTTACTTAGCTGGCTCGAGACAGAACATTTGTCCCATAAACCGAACTTTAAAAAAGATTTTCAGGATTTTTTGCGCGGTTTTTCCTATTTGAAAGACCCTGATTTGATATTTCAACTTCTACTAGATCTTTACAAAGAATTCTTGGTCTTCCTCTTCTGAATGAACCATCAGTAGGCTCGCTTTTATATGCCTTTTGAGCTGGCTATATATGGCCTAGCCACCATAGTCGTTGCTGCTCGATACGACTATCCATGTCGATATCCGTGTATATATGTTAAAGCTCATGTTTCATTTGACGCCGATCGGATCTATCGGAGATTTTTTCTCTCAAACACCCATGATTCAGATCCATATAACAGCACGGGTATTATCAGAATGTTGTAGAGTGTGAGTTTGGTCTGGTGACCTTGTTTCTAAACTGCTTACTTAGACCATAGTAGTAGTCAATAATTCAATTTATGGCGGTACCATATATAAAATTAAATCTTATATAAAATCTTTGACTGTCTCGAATCTGTTTTTCTTAAGTTCCACAGTTGGTCCGAGTCTTCGGGACTTCTTGCGCATTTATACCATCAGCTTGGTCTTCTCGCCATTTACTGCCGGACCCACTTTGGCAGGCTCCTTTTTAATTTATTCAAAGATGGCTGTTACCGTTCGCAATGTTCGACGCATTATGTCGATATCATCGAGGCGAGTTTGGTGTACAGAGAGCCATTTCTGTTCACCTCTGCCTCTCATATGACCTTTTCCAGCAGAATTTTTTAAAGGTCACACGACAATTCTCGTTCGTTATTGAAGGAATCCGATATGTGCTTTCCGACTGATGATCTTGTGCCAGATAAACGTATCCTGAATAACCGTATTAATTTTGCAGGAATGCCGAACGCAGACATGGCTTTAAACACCTCTGAATGGATAGGGCTGTCGAATGCGGCTTTGTAGTCGACGAATAAATGATATGTGTCTACGTGTTTTTCGTGGGTATTTTCCAGGATTTGGCGCAGAGTGAAAATCTGGTCAATAGTGGATTTGCCATGCCTGACCATTGGCTTCAGTCGTCCACACGGCACGCTGGATAGCACTTTATATGCAATGTGGAAGGAGACTTATTCCTCTATAGTTGGCACATATCGTCTTGTCTCCTTTTTTGTGCACGGGACACAGGATGCTGAGGCTACAATCGTTGGGCATGCATTCCTCTAGCCAAATTGTACTAACCAGCTGGTGCATGCTCCTGACCAGCATCTGATCACAAGTCTTGAATAGTTCGGCTGGTAATCCATCGGCACCAGCTACTTTCTTATTCTTCAGTCGATTAATTATTACTCAGAACTCATCTTAGCTAGGTGGTATAGACTCTATACCGTCATCTCTTATTGGTTCTGCGATATCTTCTTCACTTCCACAATTTGATACCAGAAGCTTTTCAAAATGCCCCTTCCAAATCCTCAACACGCTGTCTGTAACTGTGACCTTCTTCATCTGTTTATTCTCTATCTTTCTGAAAGTCCATACCCACCGGATGACATAAATATCATAACGTACGCGGATGATTGTACGACCCAGAAGGACAAAGAAACCGGGTTAACAGCCCACCATCACCTAGGCATTCCTTTTTCACTTTGGACACAATCAATAAAGATCGCTGCCTTTTTCAACTTGGAGTTCGAAGCAAAACCAGATTATGATTAAAGAAAAATACACACAAAATCGATCGATTGACATTTGCCGACATTTCATCATCCTCGCTCTCTTCCTTTCCTGACCGGCTTGAGTAAAGAAGTATTATTATCATGAATTGTGTAGCTAATATTCTGAAGGCATTACTATTATTAAATAAATGGATTTCCCAAGCTGCTACAAAGGAAGAAAGGCTAATTGGTTTGGTAGTATTGCGATAAAGTGTGACAAGGTTTCCCAGTCTTGGGAATGAAGGCCAACTTTACTTCTCTCCACAGACTTCCTATGAATGATAACCTTAGACAGACCCTGAAGATATGACTCAGTGTTATTAATACCAGCTCTGAGGCATTCCGCAACATTGCAGGTATTGTACCTAGTCCATCTAACTGTTAATCGCCATACCAGTTTTGGATAACTTGTTAGGTGTTCTATCATTCATTTGCCATGGACTGAGATTTAATATGATGCGTCAATTGCTCGCCCGTAAAGAGTGACTATGTTTCTCCACCTATACTCCTTCCTCTCCACAGACTTAGTATGAATGATAACCTTAGACAGGCCCCGAAAATCTCCCTCAGTGTTATTACGATCTTCTCTGAAGCATTCTGCATTATTGCAGGTATACCATCCGGCTCAGGAGATTTGTGGAATTGAAAAGTGTTAATCACCCATACCAATTTTGGATAGCTTGTTAGGTGTTCTATCAGAGCTTCATTAGCCATTGAATGAGGTTGAATATGATGCATGAATTGCTCGTACGTACCCAAGTCTCTGCTCCCTGGAAAATGAATATCCAATAGAAGGTCCAGAGTCTCTAAACCATCTGCAGTATTCACGGTGAATATTTTATACGGATGTTCAGAAGAGAGAAATTCTACAGCGGGTAACAGAAGCACATATATCTAACAAACCCATCATATTTTTGCCTAAAAAATAAACATCAGCATACGGTCGAACATGCCCAGACCACTCTAAAATATCGTATGGTATCAGATATCGTAAAAGTTTTCCTACATAATTTGTAATTTTTCCAATTTTATTAGCATCGTATTAGCATTATGTAAATAAGAAATAGAATAGATGTATACGCTATTTATTGGTCAATATATTTTAATTTCTTTACATTCAAATTATTTTAATTTTTAAATGCACATAATAAATACCATTCAACAAAATACACTCAACAACTTATTTTTGTTCCTCATTTAGGTAGACCCTCTTTGTCAGCCCATTCCAACCATGAACCCACATAATTTTTCACATTTGTATAGCCTAGCTTTTGGGCTATTTCTGCTGCCGCTTGCGACCTCTTGCCACTACGACAATGGAATATCACTTCCATATCTTTAGCGGGGAAATCACGACCATATTTCGCTCTGAATACCTTCGCATCAACATTATCCGCCAATGCTGTAATCACCTGATCCAATGGTATATTAATGGCTGTAGGAATTTTACCACTTTCCTGCAATTCTTGCGGTTCACGGACATCTATCAACAATTTATTGGGATATTTCGGCAATTGTTTAATTTCTTCATAGCGGACAATGGGTATGGAATTTATACTGGTCTTTTGTGAACAAAAATGTTTAATGAAATTTTGTTGTAAAATTACATTTTGATGGTACTTTGGTGACGACAATGACGAGGTATGCGTGGCAAGTTTGTTGGCTCCTCCAATGTGGAATTTATTTAAATGTTTGGTTAATTGAAGAAATCTGCGGGACATTATTTTCGGTTTTTTGTTGTTGGTTCTATGATGGGATGGAAAATTTTTGAAATAATTTGTTATTCTGTACATATACACGATCAATAACAAACCTCCTACCTTGCTCGTTCGCTTTGCTCGCTTGTTGTGTGTGTAATGATCTTAAAATAAGCAACAGCTGTTCTTCGATAAAAAATAAACATAGATTAGAAATCAGCTGACAAAATCACTTTCTATTTGCAGAGGCGGCGTTTCATATTTTGACCAATGGGGACCAGAACAGAGGTGAAATATGGTGAGTACAAAAGCAAACCATAAAATAAATTTAGTAAAAAATACAATTTTAAAAATCCACGCCTTATTGGCCTGGGCCTCTTGAAAATTACAATTTAAAAAATCCATGCCTTATTGGCCTGGGCCTCTAGGTGGGCCTCTAGAAAATTACAATTTAAAAAATCCATGCCTTATTGGCCTGGGCCTCTAGGTGGGCCTCTAGAAAATTACAATTTAAAAAATCCACGCCTTATTGGCCTGGGCCTCTAGAAAATTACAATTTAAAAAATCCACGCCTTATTGGCCTGGGCCTCTAGAAAATTACAATTTAAAAAATCCACGCCTTATTGGCCTGGGCCTCTAGAAAATTACAATTTAAAAAATCCACGCCTTATTGGCCTGGGCCTCTAGAAAATTACAATTTAAAAAATCCACGCCTTATTGGCCTGGGCCTCTAGAAAATTACAATTTAAAAAATCCACGCCTTATTGGCCTGGGCCTCTAGAAAATTACAATTTAAAAAATCCACGCCTTATTGGCCTGGCCCTCTACGCCTTATTGGCCTGGGCCTCTAGAAAATTACAATTTAAAAAATCCACGCCTTATTGGCCTGGGCCTCTAGAAAATTACAATTTAAAAAATCCACGCCTTATTGGCCTGGGCCTCTAGAAAATTACAATTTAAAAAATCCACGCCTTATTGGCCTGGGCCTCTAGAAAATTACAATTTAAAAAATCCACGCCTTATTGGCCTGGGCCTCTAGAAAATTACAATTTAAAAAATCCACGCCTTATTGGCCTGGGCCTCTAGAAAATTACAATTTAAAAAATCCACGCCTTATTGGCCTGGGCCTCTAGAAAATTACAATTTAAAAAATCCACGCCTTATTGGCCTGGGCCTCTAGAAAATTACAATTTAAAAAATCCACGCCTTATTGGCCTGGTCCTCTAGAAAATTACAATTTAAAAAATCCACGCCTTATTGGCCTGGGCCTCTAGAAAATTACAATTTAAAAAATCCACGCCTTATTGGCCTGGGCCTCTAGAAAATTACAATTTAAAAAATCCACGCCTTATTGGCCTGGGCCTCTAGAAAATTACAATTTAAAAAATCCACGCCTTATTGGCCTGGGCCTCTAGAAAATTACAATTTAAAAAATCCACGCCTTATTGGCCTGGGCCTCTAGAAAATTACAATTTAAAAAATCCACGCCTTATTGGCCTGGGCCTCTAGAAAATTACAATTTAAAAAATCCACGCCTTATTGGCCTGGGCCTCTAGAAAATTACAATTTAAAAAATCCACGCCTTATTGGCCTGGGCCTCTAGAAAATTACAATTTAAAAAATCCACGCCTTATTGGCCTGGGCCTCTAGAAAATTACAATTTAAAAAATCCACGCCTTATTGGCCTGGGCCTCTAGAAAATTACAATTTAAAAAATCCACGCCTTATTGGCCTGGGCCTCTAGAAAATTACAATTTAAAAAATCCACGCCTTATTGGCCTGGGCCTCTAGAAAATTACAATTTAAAAAATCCACGCCTTATTGGCCTGGGCCTCTAGAAAATTACAATTTAAAAAATCCACGCCTTATTGGCCTGGGCCTCTAGAAAATTACAATTTAAAAAATCCACGCCTTATTGGCCTGGGCCTCTAGAAAATTACAATTTAAAAAAACGCCTTATTGGCCTGGGCCTCTAGAAAATTACAATTTAAAAAATCCACGCCTTATTGGCCTGGGCCTCTAGAAAATTACAATTTAAAAAATCCACGCCTTATTGGCCTGGGCCTCTAGAAAATTACAATTTAAAAAATCCACGCCTTATTGGCCTGGGCCTCTAGAAAATTACAATTTAAAAAATCCACGCCTTATTGGCCTGGGCCTCTAGAAAATTACAATTTAAAAAATCCACGCCTTATTGGCCTGGGCCTCTAGAAAATTACAATTTAAAAAATCCACGCCTTATTGGCCTGGGCCTCTAGAAAATTACAATTTAAAAAATCCAAGAAAATTACAATTTAAAAAATCCACGCCTTATTGGCCTGGGCCTCTAGAAAATTACAATTTAAAAAATCCACGCCTTATTGGCCTGGGCCTCTAGAAAATTACAATTTAAAAAATCCACGCCTTATTGGCCTGGGCCTCTAGAAAATTACAATTTAAAAAATCCACGCCTTATTGGCCTGGGCCTCTAGAAAATTACAATTTAAAAAATCCACGCCTTATTGGCCTGGGCCTCTAGAAAATTACAATTTAAAAAATCCACGCCTTATTGGCCTGGGCCTCTAGAAAATTACAATTTAAAAAATCCACGCCTTATTGGCCTGGGCCTCTAGAAAAAATTACATTTTAAAAAATCCACGCCTTATTGGCCTGGGCCTCTAGAAACGCCTTATTGGCCTGGGCCTCTAGAAAATTACAATTTAAAAAAACGCCTTATTGGCCTGGGCCTCTAGAAAATTACAATTTAAAAAATCCACGCCTTATTGGCCTGGGCCTCTAGAAAATTACAATTAAAAAAATCCACGCCTTATTGGCCTGGGCCTCTAGAAAATTACAATTAAAAAAATCCACGCCTTATTGGCCTGGGCCTCTAGATTTTTTTAAATCCACGACTTATTGGCTTCTAAGCATAAAGTACAGATCTTCTCATGATAGTAATAAATCGACGATGTTTTTTTTTTAATATTAAGAACACATTTTATTACAAACTTCAGGCTTATATTTATTTATGTTCAACATTTAAAGACATTCCAGGAAGTCGGAATGCCTCCAAATATCTTCAAAACATCAACAATTCTTTCCATCAACTCTTTCTGCAGCATTGTGGGAACGTCTACCGATTTTACAATGGAATATTATCTCAGTATTCTTAGAGGGAAAATCACGACCATATTTAGCTTTGAAAGCCTTAGCATCTACATTGCCAGCCAACACTTTTTCAACCTCACCCAGAGGTATGTTAATCGAGGTGGGAATTTGTCCTGTCTCTTGTAGTTCCTTGGGTTCTCGTACATCTATTAATAACTTTTCCGGTTGCTTGGGCAATTGTTTAATTTCTTCATAGCTAACAACGGGGATGTTACTGACGTTGGAGCAGAAATGCTTAGCAAATGCGGCCTGAAGTTGAGTGGTGCTGTAGGCTAATGGCTTGGTTTCGGCAATTTGAGAGACGGCACCATTACGCAAAGCGTTTAAATTTCTCAACAAGACAAAGGTTCTACTTAGCATTTT